TGGATTAGAGTTGTCGTGGTGGACTAAGGAGATCTGTTCTGATGGATTAGAGTTGTCGTGGTGGACTAAGGAGATCTGTTCTGATGGATAAGAGTTGTCATAGTGGACTAAGGAGATCTGTTCTGATGGATTAGAGTTGTAATATTTGACTAAGGAGATCTGTTCTGATGGATAAGAGTTGTCATAGTGGACTAAGGAGAACTGTTCTGATGGATTAGAGTTGTAATAGTGGACTAAGGAGATCTCTTCTGATGGATTAGAGTTGTCGTGGTGGACTAATGAGATCTGTTCTGATGGATTAGAGTTGTAATAGTTGACTAAGGAGATCTGTTCTGATGGATTAGAGTTGTCGTGGTGGACTAATGAGATCTGTTCTGATGGATTAGAGTTGTAATAGTTGACTAAGGAGATCTGTTCTGATGGATTAGAGTTGTCGTGGTGGACTAAAGAGATCTGTTCTGATGGATTAGAGTTGTCGTGGTGGACTAAGGAGATCTGTTCTGATGGATTAGAGTTGTCGTGGTGGACTAAGGAGATTTGTTCTGATGGATTAGAGTTGTAATATTTGACTAAGGAGATCTGTTCTGATGGATTAGAGTTGTCGTGGTGGACTAAGGAGATCTGTTCTGATGGATTAGAGTTGTCGTGGTGGACTAAGGAGATCTGTTCTGATGGATTAGAGTTGTCGTGGTGGACTAAGGAGATCTGTTCTGATGGATTAGAGTTGTCGTGGTGGACTAAGGAGAACTGTTCTGATGGATTAGAGTTGTTGTGGTGGACTAAGGAGATCTATTCCGGTGGATTAGAGTTGTCGTGGTGAACTAAGGAGATCTGTTCTGATGGATTAGAGTTGTAATAGTTGACAAAGGAGATCTGTTCTGATGGATAAGAGTTGTCATAGTGGACTAAGGAGATCTGTTCTGATGGATTAGAGTTGTTGTGGTGGACTAAGGAGATCTGTTCTGATGGATTAGAGTTGTCGTGGTGGACTAAGGAGATTTGTTCTGATGGATTAGAGTTGTAATAGTTGACTAAGGAGATCTGTTCTGATGGATTAGAGTTGTCGTGGTGGATTAAGGAGATCTGTTCTGATGGATTAGAGTTGTCGTGGTGGACAAAGGAGATCTGTTCTGATGGATAAGAGTTGTCATAGTGGACTAAGGAGATCTGTTCTGATGGATAAGAGTTGTCGTGGTGGATTAAGGAGATCTGTTCTGATGGATTAGAGTTGTCGTGGTGGACTAAGGAGATTTGTTCTGATGGATTAGAGTTGTCGTGGTGGACCAAGGAGATCTGTTCAGAGTGATTAGAGTTGTCGTGGTGGACTAAGGAGATCTGTTCTGATGGATTAGAGTTGTAATAGTGGACTAATGAGATCTGTTCTGATGGATTAGAGTTGTAATAGTTGACTAAGGAGATCTGTTCTGATGGATTAGAGTTGTCGTGCTGGACTAAGGAGATCTGTTCTGATGGATTAGAGTTGTCGTGGTGGACTAAGGAGATCTGTTCTGATGGATTAGAGTTGTCGTGGTGGACTAAGGAGATCTGTTCTGATGGATTAGAGTTGTCGTGGTGGACTAAGGAGATCTGTTCTGATGGATTAGAGTTGTCGTGGTGGACTAAGGAGATCTCTTCTGATGGATTAGAGTTGTCGTGGTGGACTAAGGAGATCTGTTCTGATGGATTAGAGTTGTCGTGGTGGACTAAGGAGATCTGTTCTGATGGATAAGAGTTGTCATAGTGGACTAAGGAGATCTGTTCTGATGGATTAGAGTTGTAATAGTTGACTAAGGAGATCTGTTCTGATGGATAAGAGTTGTCATAGTGGACTAAGGAGAACTGTTCTGATGGATTAGAGTTGTAATAGTGGACTAAGGAGATCTGTTCTGATGGATTAGAGTTGTCGTGGTGGACTAATGAGATCTGTTCTGATGGATTAGAGTTGTAATAGTTGACTAAGGAGATCTGTTCTGATGGATTAGAGTTGTCGTGGTGGACTAATGAGATCTGTTCTGATGGATTAGAGTTGTAATAGTTGACTAAAGAGATCTGTTCTGATGGATTAGAGTTGTCGTGGTGGACTAAGGAGATCTGTTCTGATGGATTAGAGTTGTAATAGTTGACTAAGGAGATCTGTTCTGATGGATTAGAGTTGTCGTGGTGGACTAAGGAGATCTGTTCTGATGGATTAGAGTTGTCGTGGTGGACTAAGGAGATTTGTTCTGATGGATTAGAGTTGTAATAGTTGACTAAGGAGATCTGTTCTGATGGATTAGAGTTGTCGTGGTGGACTAAGGAGATCTGTTCTGATGGATTAGAGTTGTCGTGGTGGACTAAGGAGAACTGTTCTGATGGATTAGAGTTGTTGTGGTGGACTAAGGAGATCTGTTCTGATGGATTAGAGTTGTCATAGTGGACTAAGGAGATTTGTTCTGATGGATTAGAGTTGTAATAGTTGACTAAGGAGATCTGTTCTGATGGATTAGAGTTGTCGTGGTGGATTAAGGAGATCTGTTCTGATGGATTAGAGTTGTAATAGTTGACTAAGGAGATCTGTTCTGATGGATTAGAGTTGTCGTGGTGGACTAAGGAGATCTGTTCTGATGGATTAGAGTTGTCGTGGTGGACTAAGGAGAACTGTTCTGATGGATTAGAGTTGTTGTGGTGGACTAAGGAGATCTATTCCGGTGGATTAGAGTTGTCGTGGTGAACTAAGGAGATCTGTTCTGATGGATTAGAGTTGTAATAGTTGACAAAGGAGATCTGTTCTGATGGATAAGAGTTGTCATAGTGGACTAAGGAGATCTGTTCTGATGGATTAGAGTTGTTGTGGTGGACTAAGGAGATCTGTTCTGATGGATTAGAGTTGTCGTGGTGGACTAAGGAGATTTGTTCTGATGGATTAGAGTTGTAATAGTTGACTAAGGAGATCTGTTCTGATGGATTAGAGTTGTCGTGGTGGATTAAGGAGATCTGTTCTGATGGATTAGAGTTGTCGTGGTGGATTAAGGAGATCTGTTCTGATGGATTAGAGTTGTCGTGGTGGACTAAGGAGATCTGTTCTGATGGATTAGAGTTGTCGTGGTGGATTAAGGAGATCTGTTCTGATGGATTAGAGTTGTCGTGGTGGACTAAGGAGATTTGTTCTGATGGATTAGAGTTGTCGTGGTGGACCAAGGAGATCTGTTCAGAGTGATTAGAGTTGTCGTGGTGGACTAAGGAGATCTGTTCTGATGGATTAGAGTTGTCGTGGTGGACTAAGGAGATTTGTTCTGATGGATTAGAGTTGTCGTGGTGGACCAATGATCTGCCCGTGACATGTGCAACATACCACCACACGATCTACCCGTGACGTGTGTAACATACCACCACACGATCTACCCGTGACATGTGCAACATACCACCACACTATCTACCCGTGACTGTGTAAGATACCACCACACTATCTACCCGTGACGTGTGTAACATACTACAACACGATCTACCCGTGACGTGTGTAACATACTACCACACTATCTACCCGTGACGTGTGTAACATACATACGACCACACGATCTACCCGTGAAGAGTGTAACATACTACCACACGATCTACCCGTGACGTGTGTAACATACCACAACACGATCTACCCGTGATGTGTGTAACATACCACAACACGATCTACACGTGACGTGTGGAACATACTACCACACGATCTACACGTGACGTGTGTAACATACCACCACACGATCTACCCGTGATGTGTGTAACATACCACCACACGATCTACCCGTGATGTGTGTAACATACATACCACCGCACGATCTACCCGTGACGTGTGTAAAATACCACCGCACGATCTACCCGTGATGTGTGTAACATACATACCACCGCACGATCTACCCGTGACGTGTGTAAAATACCACCGCACGATCTACACGTGACGTGTGTAACATACCACCACACGATCTACCCGTGATGTGTGTAACATACATACCACCGCACGATCTACCCGTGACGTGTGTAAAATACCACCGCACGATCTACCCGTGACGTGTGTAACATACCACCACACGATCTACCCGTGATGTGTGTAACATACATACCACCGCACGATCTACACGTGACGTGTGTAAAATACCACCGCACGATCTACCCGTGATGTGTGTAACATACATACCACCGCACGATCTACCCGTGACGTGTGTAACATACCACCACACGATCTACCCGTGATGTGTGTAACATACATACCACCGCACGATCTACCCGTGACGTGTGTAAAATACCACCGCACGATCTACCCGTGATGTGTGTAACATACTACCACACTATCTACCCTTGACGTGTAACATACCACCACACGATCCACCCGTGACGTGTGTAATATACTACCACACGATCTACAGGTGACGTGTGTAACATACTTTCATACGATTCACCTCTGACGCTAAGCAGACAACAGGTTAAGTTCATTTCATTGACCCAAGATAATGGAGTTGCGTCGAGGTCTAGGGTTTGATATTTTCGCTGGTTTTATTCTCGGGAATTGATATCTTTTCTAAAAGACCGTGTTAGTGAAGAAAAACATCACAGCTGTCATGGTAACACTCAGGGCATCGCTTTCGTAACAATATGTAATAGTAATCAGGCCGTATGATATACATCATGATTAATCGTCGGGAACTGCTACATACCCACATAGATGAACAGTTCACAATGTTACGACAACGTACACTGTATACCGGACAAACCTGGTCCTCAAATGTATACCTTGCGGTTGTGCATATTTAATATATCTGTATGAATCAACACACTCCCACACATGTGTACTCTCGTACACAGATAGGGCCCAGTTGTCTCCCCCGCAGCAAAATATTTGAAGAATGCATCACTGCCTAACACTCCATTTCGTCACCGAGTTTCCTTCTGGTTGACTACGCCCGCTCTCGTCACAGTGTCCGTATTTCTGTCGGCCAGGTATATATGTAGGTGTTTACGTAGGTATATCGAACTGTTCGATGTAAGCCTAACTCGTGTGTCGTTAGAGGGGCGTGGTCCATCACTCCAGTTGTTTGTACACAGGCAAGAGGAGGTACTGTTGAAAGAATTATTTCTGCTACAACCAGTTGATGAAGAGAACGTGGAATTTGTTTTCTTAAAAGTTGCTTTCCTTGCAGGGGAGCGACTCGTTAAAGACTGCCGTTTTAGAGGGACTTTGCGAGAGCAGAGCTCGGGGGAGGAGGTAACAACAGTGTGCGGCAAGGTAAATGGTTTATATTTATACGGATATAACTTTTACAGTGACGACTAGAAATATTTTCATGTATAACAATGCACAATCATTTTGCAGGAGAACTGTAATACTTTAGTGAAATAGTAGTGGACATTGTGCAGTGAAGCCTGTCGTGTCCATTATCCCCCATGGAGAGGGATGTTACCGTACAGATATAAGCTATCTAGGTCAGTCCACACAGGAATGTTGTCCACTCATACTAATTGAACTCTCTAAAGTACGCTAAGCTGATGTTTACTTGGTAAACATCTACAAACTTGACTAAATCTGTAATCGGGGCAATTGCTTTCGGCATGTTGACGGAAATTCACTAATATCATTTACACACCACATGTTTCAGTTTCGTGAAGGCGGCACGGCAAATTAATGTACATTGATCGATCTACACGGCTGAATGACTTTAAAATCCGCACGCCAAATGTAAACGTTATTACCGTGGGGATGACGTCAACGTTATTGAGGCTAGCTTCAGTATTAGTATTGTTTCAAGATTAAAGGTCACAACGCCAAAATTTCCTCATTCGATTAAAGTTAATCATCAAATACGTTGCTATTCAGGATCGGTTTTCTAAGGTCGAGATCAGCTGTATCTGGAAGTAAGTCAGTAGTTTCTATCGGAACAAGGTCAATCACAAGTACTCTTTGCCAGGTCAAGGTCAGCAACAAATATATTATTCCAACAAGATTGATCAGTAATATGAATTTCATGGGTGAATCCAACAAGTAGGCCGGTCTTTACTCGCACAGTGATAAAGTGATGTCGGCTCCAGGGACACATCAAACACCGACCATATATAAAGCCAGCTGGTTTATTGTCAATATTTCATCGCTACTATCTATATCGTTATCCACAGACGCCTAAGGTAGAGACAAACTGCCAATGTTGACATATAGACTAACAAGAAAACAGTCGTGTAATATGGATTTTTCCAGTAACCCGACCACTTGAGATATAAATGATCAACATGCATATTATATCTAGAATAGTTTCATGTTCAATGTCGTTTGTGCTAATACTGCATAGGTGCCATGCGACCCCCATTCTTCTCCTACATCTACCTCTTTCTAGATTTATCTAGAATCAAAGCGATTATATGAAAGAAACTTATATTATGTTTTATAAATGTGATCTATGCCCCATGACACCATCCTCGTCACGATTGTCATGGATTTATGTTCCACAGTTTAGAGATGTTAGTGAGACGATGTACTGGATGTCCGAACAAACATCTCGACCAAACTTAAATGTAACGATATACTTATTTTGTGTGTGTGCTTTTGGTTTTTTCGTCGACGCGCTAGAAAGACTGAAGTCGCGATGACGCATAGGTAGTGTGCTAAGTTACGAGAAAACATGAGGATAAAATCTCCGGAACAATTGACATTGATCCGGTTACCGGGGTTTGTAGAAATTCTAACACGCCATAAGAAAGTGTTGTTTAAGCAGACAAACATGTGCAATGTACATCACCGGTGGCCATTAATTCTCGGCCTGCGTGGGAGTAGACGAACTACACCTTGAAATTTTAAACGTGTTTTTTGAGTTTATTAGACAAATGAACACGTTTGTTAAGAGGTTCGTTTCTGGGCTAATGTCAAAGGTAGAATTAACAAAGGAAGACATGACCTTGAAGTAGCCACCAGTTGGTGTTTCCCGCGGGGAGAGTGACCACCCGATTGTCACCCCTCCTGACCGGTCCTGGTAACACCTGTTATAATAGGCCACCTTTAAGCAGCCATCGTTATGACAGGTTCGGACCCTTATTATAATTGTGGACCTGATAGCCTGAGCATATTGAAGCATGTAAACAGTTCTGTCCATTTTATTTCGGACAGACTGGTGCTGTAAGGGCGCGGTAAGTCTCACCCTCTTGTCCTTTTATATTGTGAAAATATGCCCGGCTCCTTCCACATATTGTCTTTATGGTTCGTTGTACTATTAGGTTATCGAGACGTCCGGAATGTTGCCCCATTGACTTGTAAATACATGTACTCAGTTTTCTCGATAGTTACAGAGGTATGACAGTTTAAAGCGCTTCAGCTGCCCACAGTTATTACATTATATTTGAGGTTTATTGTAAGATATACCTAGCTCTCTATGGGATGTATAGACCGGTGATGTAAAGTGAAAACAGGTTTATGTGTCTCGTGTGGTTTTACAACATTCAGTATGTGACTGGCATAAATCTATCTTAGATTTAATAAACCACATCTGATTTACACCTGTCAATAGTCTTCGCTCCCATGCTGTTCAAATAAAGCAACCAGGTGTTTTACTTACTCCTACAATGGGCGTTTTATGTTCCTTGTTATGAATTTGCCTCAAAGGATGTGTAAAGTGACGTAAATATACACGAAAACAAAGCTAATGTAGATATTAAAAATAGTCATATTACTCAACACAGTAAGATGATACAGAACGTTCATTTACAAAAAAAAGATGAAACCTTATTTACAGGATATATCCTACGTCATGTAACGGGACATGCTGGATATATCCTACGTCATGTAACGGGACATGCTGGATATATCCTACGTCATGTAACGGGACATGCTGGATATATCCTACGTCATGTAACGGTACATGCTGGATATATCCTACATCATGTAACGTGACATGCTGGATATATCCTACGTCATGTAACGGGACATGCTGGATATATCCTACGTCATGTAACGGGACATGCTGGATATATCCTACATAATGTAACGTGACATGCTGGATATATCCTACGTCATGTAACGGGACATGCTGGATATATCCTACGTCATGTAACGGTACATGCTGGATATATCCTACATCATGTAACGTGACATGCTGGATATATCCTACGTCATGTAACGGGACATGCTGGATATATCCTACGTCATGTAACGGGACATGCTGGATATATCCTACGTCATGTAACGTGACATGCTGGATATATCCTACGTCATGTAACGGGACATGCTGGATATATCCTACGTCATGTAACGGGACATGCTGGATATATCCTACGTCATGTAACGGTACATGTTGGATATATCCTACGTCATGAGAAGAGACATGTTGAATATATCCCACGTCATGTAACGTGACATAGTATATATGTTAGATGTCTTTTATATATTGTAACATGTCACGAGACTTCATGTATAGCTTATACATAGCTAGATATCTTACATATATAGTTTCGACACATGATAAATCCGAGGTCTAGGTCCTAATTGACGTTTGACGCAGTGAATATATTTGATTTTATTGTTCCGTTTGTTTATCTATAAACCACAATGATTGATATCAAACAGATGTCTTTAATTGTTTTCCGTCTAGGGGTCACTGCTCGATGCGGACCGATTATTAAGTTTATCATGTTACGTGGCAGTGTTAGGTAGAAGTGTAGACAAAAAGAGAATAGTATTTCGGTAAAGGTGGTATTTCTGTACACCAGGGCTCCGTTTACAGGTGTAGGTGGTATTTCTGTACACCAGGGCTCCGTTTACAGGTGTAGGTGATATTTATGTACACCAGGGCTCCGTTTACAGGTGTAGGTGGTATTTCTGTAGGCCAGGGCTCCGTTTACAGTTATAGGTGGTATTTCTGTACACCAGGGCTCCGTTTAGAGGTGAAGGTGGTATTTATGTACACCAGGGCTCCGTTTTCAGGTGTAGGTGGTATTTATGTACACCAGGGCTCCGTTAACAGGTGTAGGTGGTATTTTTGTACACCAGAGCTCCGTTTACAGGTGTAGGTGGTATTTATGTACATCAGGACTAGGTTTACAGGAGTGGGTGGTATTTATGTACATCAGCACTAGGTTTACAGTTGTAGGTGGTATTTATGTAAATCAGTACTAGGTTTACAGTTGTAGGTGGTATTTATGTACATCAGCACTAGGTTTACAGGTGTAGGTGGTATTTATTTACATCAGCACTAGGTTTACAGTTGTAAGTGGTATTTATGTACATCAGCATTAGGTTTGCAGGTGTAGGTGGTATTTATATACACCAGCACTAGGTTTACAGTTGTAGGTGGTATTTATGTAAATCAGTACTAGGTTTACAGTTGTAGGTGGTATTTATGTACACCAGGACTAGGTTTACAGGTGTAGGTGGTATTTATGTACATCAGCACTAGGTTTACAGTTGTAGGTGGTATTTATGTAAATCAGCACTAGGTTTACATTTGTAGGTGGTATTTATGTACATCAGTACTAGGTTTACAGTTGTAGGTGGTATTTATGTACATCAGCACTAGGTTTACAGTTGTAGGTGGTATTTATGTAGATCAGCACTAGGTTTACAGTTGTAGGTGGTATTTATGTACATCAGTACTAGGTTTACAGTTGTAGGTGGTATTTATGTAAATCAGTACTAGGTTTACAGTTGTAGGTGGTATTTATGTACATCAGCACTAGGTTTACAGGTGTAGGTGGTATTTATTTACATCAGCACTAGGTTTACAGTTGTAAGTGGTATTTATGTACATCAGCATTAGGTATGCAGGTGTAGGTGGTATTTATATACACCAGCACTAGGTTTACAGTTGTAGGTGGTATTTATGTAAATCAGTACTAGGTTTACAGTTGTAGGTGGTATTTATGTACACCCGGACTAGGTTTACAGGTGTAGGTGGTATTTATGTACATCAGCACTAGGTTTACAGTTGTAGGTGGTATTTATGTAAATCAGTACTAGGTTTACATTTGTAGGTGGTATTTATGTACATCAGTACTAGGTTTACAGTTGTAGGTGGTATTTATGTACATCAGCACTAGGTTTACAGTTGTAGGTGGTATTTATGTACATCAGCACTAGGTTTACAGTTGTAGGTGGTATTTATGTACATCAGTACTAGGTTTACAGTTGTAGGTGGTATTTATGTACATCAGCACTAGGTTTACAGGTGTAGGTGGTATTTATTTACATCAGCACTAGGTTTACAGTTGTAGGTGGTATTTATGTACATCAGTACTAGGTTTACAGGAGTA